CGGGCAGTGCCGTGAAAGTTAATCGTTGTTGTGTTGGCGATTCCCGGTCAGCCACGGAGCGATGGCAGTAGCAACGACAGGGATCCTTGACTTTGGACGACGAGAATGGAACACTCAAACTTTTCCTGCTTTCTTGGTAGGTGGCGATGGAAAAGTTGACAATGCGGGAATCAACATGGTGGCATTGTACGGCGGTATGCATACTTTACTTTACGCCGGGTTGCCTTTTCGCTAGGGTGATGTTGTATCCAGCGGCAACAACCAAATCTGGAACTTGTTTGAAGACCCCAAACCCTCAACAAAAGTCGAGCGGCGCTTTGGGTTGTTACCTACAACAGGGGCTATTTTGGGCGATCAATCCTTTCAACGCCAAACAGTGAGATTAATTATGTAAGAGTTAAAGCGTTTGAAGGTTAGGCTTCCGGGTAGGCGAAAAGGTTGATCAGTCCGTTGTCATCGGAGGACACAGACTTTCTCGTACACGGGTCCGCGGGAGCTAGTTGATGGCGAGGAAAACTCTGCCGTTGCGGTTTGCATTTGCTGGGGGATGTTTCAGGAGCACGAATGAAGCTTGAGCTTGCTCTTGCTCTTGCGGCCAAGTACTCGGCGCCGATGAGCTTTCCCGGACAGGATGGGCACGGGGCGCCGGTCGGGCGGTTTCTCATCGGAGAGGTCCAGGCGGCGCTGCAGGACCAAACGAGCCGGCGGACCAGTCGAGCGGTGCGAGGCCCAACGGAAGCGAGCTGCATGTCTGTGAGACTTACGAATACGACAAGTCTGCTTCCGTCCGCGCGGCGAATTCCTCTGCGCAGGTAGTTGCTGTCAGATGAGGTTACCGGGCCGATGTGGTCGGGCTCCGGCCGGAGCCCGGAGTAGTGATGCTTGAGCAGACCCACACACGGCCCGTCTACCGGTTCAAGACCGGAGCATAACGGTGTGTCTAGGCATGTAGATCGTTCAGGTATCGGTGCTCTTGTTTGAAGTTGCCCGTGTAAGCTGCAGGGCTCACACTTGCACCGTACTTGAAGCGTATTGATGTAAGTGACCAATGGCTCCAGAATTATACACACGGAAGTGCCGTCTTTGCCTGCAAGTGTGAAGCAGGTCGACATACAAAGCCATTTTTTCTATCAGCTCTTATAGTTCAGCAGCAATTCAGCGGCTATTTTGCCAAACATAAGGAACTTGGTAGGTCGGTCAAATCAGCCATAGGAGGCAGTCGCCGCGATGCGTTTGGCGGGTTTCTTACGCAAATGCATAGCATAGAGGTGATGGCAGTTGACATACTTATTCGAATCAACCAAAGAACAGCGAGGTCATGACATTATTGACACCATTCCCATACTTGTAGATACAGGACTCAGTGAGCTCTGGTATTTTCTGCCGGAATCCACGGGCGATTATAAGACACACTCAGCTTTCAAAGCTAAAGTGACGTTTAGTCGGGGTACACAACGAATGCTCCTAGTATGTCGGTGATTCCAGAAGCAAGACACATCGTATTGAGGGGTTCTGTGTCTGTTCTCCGGCGTGATGAGCATATTTTTACAACCTCGGCTTCGATCCCATATGTGATGAAGACCACGGTATATCTAGGATGATTCTCATGCTGAGTCAATAGTGAGCGGTACTGGACGACCGCACTGGATGATCGCAGGCGTGATTCCGGAGCAAGAGTGATTGTCGATACGAAGTGCCTGACGTGTAATATATAATAGCAGCCGAGATGGGAAATTCAAGATTCACTGGACTCTGATACGTTCATCTAGAAATGTTAAATCTAACGTTCAGTTGCCGTATAGTACATACTCTGATATGCGTCGACGACAGGCTCCAGCGAGTCTAAGATGCCACTGGAGGGTCGTGGACTTCAGCTCAGCGAAACTCCTGTTGCCGGGTCAGAAAGACTATATTTGTGGTCAGATATCCTGGAACTCTGGAAACGAAACGACAGTCTACTCTCACGCTCTATTGATGATGTTAGTATCACATACTCTAGGAGACCGCCTATTGTCCCTGTGCTTGAGTGACCACATTTCCTGTGTTTACATGCTCTAATTCACCGTTGTCGCTGCCAACGTCGTCGTCGTCTTCATTGGTATTAAATATGAGCCGTGGCTTAGCAAGCGCTAGTGTTGTTGGTTATACCTTGAGGCGGAGCTGTGGTCCGTGATGAGAACCACCGATCGAGGGTACCCTATCATGAAAACCAACGGCTTCAAGTACATATGAACATCGAACGATATAAATCCAAGCGGTGGAACAACTATAGATGATGAATATACCAGGAAAATACCGGCTGGCCACTGGCAGCAAGGAAGTGCACAAGTGACCACTTTAGAGGGGTGGCTACTCCCCTTGTGAGCGAAGCAAGGCTGGATCCAGCTGCCCTCGCTCCTTCCTCAAGAGCAACAGCTCCTTCCTTCGACTGTGACAGCCCCACTACTTCTCACCTTCCTCACTCCCATGGTATTTGGTCAACTTTCGCCTCAAGTTCTTTCAACCAGTTCAGCGAAAACGGCGTGACCCAGTTGGTAGAATCACACGTTCAAACAAATTCCTCCCATAGGTTTCTGGTAATCCTGGAGGGGAGCCGTTCGATTCTCGTCACGCGAGGTTGGGGCTTAGAGGATGGGACACGAGGTCCCATTTTTGTTTTTCACTTTTCTTGGATTTGAAGTATTGGTGGTTTTAATCTTTTATCAAGAGACATAGAAGAGCGAGCATTTGGCCCGCAAGTTTATTTGCGCAGAATAGGTGTTTGAAGCCATCGCGATGTAAACAGATATGAAGTTGCAGACCGCACCCAAGTACCTCGGTACCTTTTAACCCGCGCGAAGCCGGCCGCTTCTTATCTTATCGATAAGACGTCGGCCCCACGTCGGACATGGGGCAATGACGAACTTCACATTCCCATCAGGGTGTTCCTCAGCGGGTAGGTTGGTCCCCTCACCCATTCCCCAGCCAGGTCCGCCCGCCGCCCGTCGCAGCGTTGCGCCTCGAAACCGAGCCGGGCAAAGCACGAGACCACCACCACCTACCGCCAAACACACCCCCGATCGCCGCCCGACCACCGACGACGTCCGTTCCTCTGCATGCACACACGACAGCGCTACCTTTGTTTTCTTTTCGCGCATCCCACGTCTTCTGTCATCGTGCATACAACACAGCAAGAGTTCCCAATCGCCGCCGAAACCTGTCGAGATGGGCGGCAACGCAAGTAAAGTCACCGCCCAGGACAAGTCAGTCTTCCTTCCCCTACCTTCACGACCCATGTGCGCAGCGTCGCAAATTTCATGCGCCGCCTCTATGCACTCCCTGAATAGTCTCTGCAAGACCGTAATACTGACGCGCATCCTCCCGCAGGGCAATCCTCGACATGAAGCTCCAACGCGACAAGCTCCACCAGTATCAGCGCCGCATCACCGTCCTGACAGATAAGGAAACCGCCATCGCGAAGCAGATGCTCGCAAAGGGCGACAAGCCACGCGCCCTCCTCGCCCTCCGCCGCAAAAAGTACCAGGAGTCCCTTCTCCAAAAGACGGACGCCCAGCTCGAGCAGCTCGAGAAGCTCACCTCCTCCGTCGAGTTCGCCATGATCCAGAAGGATGTTGTATTTGGCCTGCAGCAGGGTACCAAGGTTCTGAAGGAGATACACTCCGAGATGGGCGGCATTGAGCACGTTGAAAAGCTCATGGGTGAGACGGCCGATGCCATTGCTTACCAAAAGGTTCGTTGCTCCTGCCGCCGCCGCGGCGCCCAGACCTCGGGCTCTTGGACAGCTGCGGTGGTCTGTCTAGCTGAGTACAATGCTGACGAGTCGTCTTTTTCTTCACTCGCAGGAAGTCAGCGATATGCTTGGCGGTCGCATCTCGAATCAGGACGAGGAAGAGGTCGAAGACGAGCTGGCGGCTCTCGAGGCAAGCGTCGCCGCGGAGGAGGCGGCCCGCAACCCTCCCAAACAACACAAGCTGCCCACGGTCCCCGACACAGAACCCGTCTTGCCCGACGAGCCAGAAGCAGAAGAAGCACAGCAGCCTGTCAGGACGAGACAGGCCATGTTGGCGTCATGACGTAGCCCTCCCATGTGTTTTCGTTCTCTCTTTTTCCCCCCTCCCTCCTTCCCTTTGCAGTGATAAGGCGTCTGTGTTCGGATTAGCATTCGTAGGCCGGTTGCATTTCATGGAGTTTGAGTACGCTCATGTTTATACACCTGTCATCTTGCGCGGCGATGCGGCACTAGTTTAGGATGGTCGGTGCGACTGCTTTCACTTTGCGTTTTGGATTCACCCATGTACTTGCGTTCTTGCGCCATCACATCGAGAGGCCTGCATCATTATGGGCGGCGGCCATTAGATTCAGTTTCAGAGGCACACTGCAAATGCTACCGGTATATGATATCGCGATAAGCCATTCAGGCGTTGATATTTTGATTCTTCTTGATTCATGAATGTCCTCAGCCTCGTTGCTACCTCCGGACAATAGTCGTCCTACTGCTGCTCCTCCAATCACTGCTATTCCACAGCTATCATGTTCCGCAGGGGTATCAAAAACAGGACCCATCTCTCTATACCTCCCAACTCTAATGCAAATGCAAATGCAAACCAGTCCCAAAGTCAGCAACCTAACCTTTCCATCCAGGTGTCAAGGCCCCAAGTCCTTCACTGTATATATGCTTTCCTCCAACGCCCCACATATGCTGGAGGCTCTGGTGAGAGCCATAGACATGCTCCCGTTTCTCAGTTGTAGAGATCGTGCTTGTGATCAGTCAAGTATGATTACATCTTCGCTTGCACGCGGCCACTGTGACTGCCCAGGAGGAGGTGGCGGGTATCTCTCGAACCTCTGTGGGTCGTCAACCCGTACTGTCGGTCTTGCATGCCGATGGACTGGGATACCGTATGCTCCCTGGGGTTGGTGTGGTAGATAACCACCAGTGCGTCTGATTGCATTTCGCAGTTAGTAGGTGATGAGAAATAAAACTCTGCGTGACGCATGACTTACGCTCCATCATACACAGGCGAAGGTATGTGGCGCTGAGCGAGTCTATCGTTCATCGCACCCTCAAAACGTCGTCCGCCGGAAACTGGGTATGTCATATCAGCCGGAGGCATCCTCTCGGCACGCCTCACATAGATAGCCTGTCCAGGTGCTGCATGTGGTTGGTACCGGTCTGAGTCTAAGGTGGATCTTAGATCGCCCAGAGAGTGTCTGCTATTTGCCACTGGGGTGGAACGACATGGGACAATATCAGGATGCTCTCTGATCCGAAGGAAACCTTCTTCCCTCAGGCCATCCCGAGGCAAATGGGGATGATCCTCTCTAAGGCGGATGAAGCCTTCGTCCATGGGCGCAACGCGACGTTCCAGGCCAGGTCCGGCGTCACGCAGGGGGCGGCGGACGGACAGGATCTCCACGTCTGGGCCAAATCTGTCCCTAACACTTTCTCCAGGACCGAGAACAACAGTCTGGGTTCGAGCATGCGGATCCTCAATCATAATGGGATTGGCTCTCGCTCCCAGTACAGCCTCATCTCTTCGCAGTGAAGGTTCGACCTGGCGCGGAGCTTGGTAAGCTGGCAGTCGAGCAACATCCTGTGCGAACTCGATGTAAGATGGGGCCCGAGCCGGAGGGGGAGCTCGCGGCTGTTCACGACCGTCATGGAACGACCGAGCACCTTCTGGGTAGCCCAGACTCCTCCGGCGAGGGGACAGCCGGTCTGCTTCTCGTAGGGTGGGGCCTCGGGGTGGTGATCTTCTCCGCTGGTAGGGCTGGTCATCTCCAAGATCTGCGTATTCCACCAAGGGGCGTTGATAGCGCATTGGGGGCTTGCTAGCATCAGGGGACTTGGGCTCGATCGAAGGAATCAGATAATCCTGCAGCTGACGGCTTGATGGTCCCTGAGGACCAACGGAGCTGTGGCCAGGCGTACTCCCAGATTCATTTACCTTGTGCAACGAAGAACCAGAAGCAAAATATTGAGCATCGATCGGCGGCGCAGCAAAGGAACGGTCCATGAGCGGCCTGGCCTCTCGAGAAGGATTGCTGGCAAAGGAGCCGAACGCTGGCCTTTGCGGGTGCGCAGGGCCGAGGTCAATCACTGGCGCTCTGCCATCCATGAACACAACAGGCTGACTCTGGGAATACGTTCCGTGACTAACGGAACCGTTCACCACACCGGGCTCCTGCGGCTGCGCGTTGGACACTGCTTTCTGCCGATTCATGGCTGCGGACCATCTAGCATTTGCGACAGCCTCGTACCTACTGAAGTTACGCTCTTTATGCTTCGCAGCACGTCTGCGATGCTTCTTGTTGACCCGTTTCTTTCCTGGCGTAGCGACTGCCTGGGGAGATCCTGGATGGGACGGCAATGCCGTCGACATGCGGCTGCGGCTGGCACGGTCTTGACGCATGGTTGGCACCGGGACTCTTGCGACATTCATGGACCTGTCGGTGAGCACGGCTGATGAGTCGGAATCAGGCTCCTCGCCAGAATCCTCGTCATCAGAATCATCAGATAGAACGACCACCTCTCGAAGAATTTCGTCGAGTTGATTACGTCCGTTCTCGTCATCGCCTCGCCACTTGACGAGGATGTCCAGACATAGTTGCTCTGTAGCTCTTCTGGCATTGTGCCATGATGTCTCGCGGAGGAGCTCGTCGTATCTCGTGTGGTTGTGCCGGATATGGGCGAGGACGGCGAGCTGCACGCGCCGCGAAAGCGACAGCTCCTGTTGCAACCCCACCACCAGTTCACCTTTGAACTGCTTGCCCTATGCAACCGTGAGCATCGCACGCATTTCGTGCAGTTGGCAAGCATTAACAAACCTTTCTGAACGCATGATCGATGATCTGCTGTCTGTCGGTGTGCGGAATGCGAGGGAAAAGCTCGCGCAGCGCAGCATCGGCTTGCCTGTTGATTTCCGTTTGGGAGCGAGGGATCTCCTCGACTTGGTCTGGTCCTGTTGTGGTCGGTTCGTAAAAGGCATCCTGCCCCAGTTCACTCATCGCACGATCCACGATGTTTTCGCGAATGTGATGACCGACTCGGTGGATCTGTTGGCTCAGTTCCGACGCGTCCTTCTTCGCGAACGTCTTTCCAACCCGTAAGTACTTGGTCTGATACCTCTCAATCCGACAGCCTTACCACTATGTAGACAAGAGCGCCAATTTCTCTTGATATCTCCTTGCACCGCTCCGTGAGTTCCGGATTGCCCATTGGAATGTACTTCATCCCTGGCGGTGGCTGACGGTTGGCCGTGATCTGTGATTGTGGTTCAGTTAAACGCTCAGCGGCCGACGTGCATGTTCGACTCGGGCTGTACCTCGAAGAGCAGGGGCTTCTTCTTGTCTTTGTTCTCAATGAACTCGAAATAAGACTGGTGCTTTGAGTTCGTGACTGCGTTGACCGGCTTCGCGGCGACGAGTCCCGGCGGCAGGGGCACGCTCCGATCGAGGGTCTTGCTAGGTTTCCCAGCTCGTTTGTGGCGGTCCTTCGCCGTGGCCGGGCCCGGCTGAGACCTCTTCTCTCTCCCCATTTCGACGATGCACTTGTTCTTTTTATCAGCTTACCATGATGCTTGAGGATCAAACCTCAGTAACGATCCGGTAGGTAGGGAGAGTAAAAAGAAAGAAAGATGCAACAAGATGGATAGACAGTTAGTGAATGTGACGATCGAGGCTTGCAATGGCTTGAGGACGAAAGTCAAGTCAACAACGTCCACGTGTGGCAGGTACAAGAGCGTCCTGGGTTTGCAAGCCCTCAAAAGTTGACGAAATGACGACAGCAAGTGGCACTTGCTGCGCGAAAGAACAACACTAAATCACGGAGACGAAGGGTATTCAAATGTCCACTGATGGATACTTGAGCCTGCGACTCGTCAAGCAAGTTCGGCAAGAGCAACTCGCACTTGGGGGAGGTAGGCGCAGGTGCAGAAGATGAGATGCGATGCGACGCGGTGCTTGAATGCTCGAAGTGCATGAGCATACGCCGCCAGGGCTGGGGGCGAGGTCAGTTGTTCCGGAACAAGAGATGGGATGCAAAGCCGCCCAACGCGATCCTGGTCGGGTTGCAACTTACGTAAGACAGGGCAGGCTGCGTGACGTCGGGTCAGGCGTTATCTTCACGTGCTGATAGTGGCGGGGCATGGTGCACGCTCCCTCAAAAGAAGCAGGGGCCGGCACTTGGCTGCAGCATACACCGAGCAGGTCAAGAAAGCATGTCACTCTCACCGAAACGCCATGCGCAGTCCGAACTCCTCACGAATGAATTGGGCAAGGAATCCGAGGCTGTTTCAAACTTAAACCCTAGCTTCTAAGACGTAATGAACTCCTCTTGCGGATCAATGAGGGCATCACGATCACGGCGTGACTGAATGACGAGGTGCATCATGCTGAAAATCGTTATTTGTTTGCGTTGCAAGTCCAATCTACGAGCTAAACTATCATCCGTGAAGTCGTCCCGTATTCCTTACATATTGTTTGTTTGTTTGTTAACAGACCTTATATCCGTGGCTCTTTCCTGAGCACTGAGCCAAAACGCCGCCGCCCTTTCCTCGATGCAGCCGTCAATGTTTCCGATGCGGTTGTCGCCATGTATTTCATTACATAAGTCCCTTAGTTATCATCGAGTGAATTGACGTGCTTCTTCATGAATTCGAAGGCAGAGAAGAAAATAGCGTTCACAGCGCACGAGCGTCCCATGGACACTCCAAGACCGCGATACATGTGTTTTTTGAAGAATTCAATCTTCGGTGGCGGCTCAACTTGCTGGCCTTTGGAGTACAAGAGAGAGTTTCGTTGGTAGATGCTCTTTGCCGAGTCAATGGGATCTGGCACAGTTAGCGTTCCGCAAATAAGTCGTTGACGACAAGACAATTCCATACAGATCATTGCCCAGGACACTATCCCGCAAAGCCCACCCGAGACCACGACTGCTAGTTTATTAGTGGTGGGGTGGTCGCCGCCAAACGTAGTCCCGAGCTGTTTGCCGCTCTCGTAGACCATGAAGTATATGGCCGTCCCCAACGTATCTCGCACTAAGATGGGTCAGCTGAGGGATGGATGGGGTTGTACGCCTGGGCAGACTTACACAAGTGCAAGTTGAAGCCAGTGTAGAGCCCCAAAGCACCCCGGTGGCGAATGATGTTGGACATGGTCTTGAATGTGCCCTTGTTCTGGTAGCTGGCCGCAACCTGGTGGCCATTGGTAGCCCGACAATTGGCCTCGGCGAGCTTCTTCTGGTCAGACAATAAGACCGATACCTGGGCGCTGAGTTTCGTCAATTCGAAAGGGCAAGCAAGAAGCGTGATGCAGGAGCCGGCAGAGGCACCGGCAGCCCCAAAGCAGGCTATGGAATAGAGGTTTGGATAGGTGCCCTGTTTGTTGACGTGCTGCAGAACGTCAAACCCGCAGGCTTGCTTGATCCAGCCAGAGTACGTGTATTTGGCGCGCTGGTAAATCGAGAAGGAAATGGTTCGCACAAGAGTAACGCTGGCCATCGGGGCCAGGACGCCTGTTTAGGGGGGCAAAAAGGTTAGTGTCATTGAGTACGCGAGTCGAGATGAGGGGTTGTGGTTGTGTGGTGTGGGAGTGCATGCAGAGCAAGTAGTGGAGGCGCGTACCCCGAAAGAAGCCTTTCAGCTTCTCAGTGCGATAAGTGTGCCTCACGCAATCTAGAAATCCTTCATATCTGTAGGTTTGCATTCGCGTTTTCACGCTATCGAGGGGGAAGGCGACGACGGTCGAGAACATGCTCGACGTGCTTGCAGCGATTTCGGTCCGGTACCGCTTGACCAGCCTCTGCGGGCGCTCTTCTTGAGCTCGAGGCATGATCGCAGTCGGTTGGAGGACCGGAACATGGTGTCTTGGATGGTATTCGACTTCTGTCGCGGGCATGCTTTCCAGCAATGGCAGCTCGGCAGCGCCTTTAGACGGTGATCTCGCGAGAGATCAAGGTCCTCAGCGCGGTCGCGATACGGCACGGTGCCAGCGGCGATGGGTCCATCCAGACCGTATTCGGTGGGCGTTTGTCAACGGTGGAGAGGGTTGGGTGGTTCGAGGGTTTCGGTAAAGGAGAGACGAGTTCGAGATCGAGCACGAGGAAGATGGACCGGTAGTTGGGACGCGAGCAGCACGACTTTAAGGATGGTTTGGGGATCGAAGGCTGAACCCCCGGAGAATGACGCTGTCGTGCCCGCTAACCATGGGAGATTTGCGGGTTAAGTTGAGAGGAGGGAAGCAGAACAAGTAGAGTTGAGGGCTGGCGTCAACTACTTTGTAAAAGCAACTGGCACCTTGGGACTGCGGGGTCGGCAATGGAATGAGTGCACGACGTGGGAGAGGCAAGGTTCATGTACTTGGACCTGCCCAGCACCAGTTCCCTCCCTCCTTGCGTCGCAGCTGCGTCGTTCCTCGTGGTTGTCGAGGTACCGCCACAGCGCTGGATACGTGTGGAGGTACAAAACTCCACCGAGATGCGCCTGTGAGGTGAGGTTGATGCAGCGCGTCCATCCGGCAGGCCCAGCTGGAGCTCCAAAGCCTGGGCCGTTCGTGGTGAGGTGCGGAAAGCTGCACCTGGGAGGCCCCTTTTGCCCCGCTCAAAGACATCCAAAACAGCGCCTGATTGGCATCTCCAGGTCAAGGTAGGTAGGGTACAGTGTAGTGGTGAGGACATCTGATGGTCATTGAGCCCAGGTGGTGGTTGCCGGCGGGCTTTCACTGTACCGCAGCAGCAGCATCGACAGCGCAGGGAGAACACTGCGAAGCAAGTATCCGCTACAACGAGGACAGGGGGGTCCATTGGATCTCCAGCGATCCTGCCTCTCTCATTTGCTCGGGCTGTCGACACCTAGGTAGCGGCCGCTAACGCTAAACAGCCCGGCCGCCCCTCACTGGACCGTCGTACCGTTTGTCGACCCACCGTCACAAGCCAGAGAAACCACCTCGCACTGTCACTCACAATGTGAGGTACTGCAAGACGGTGTGTGAGAGAAGAAGGCTACATTCCAAGTGGACTCCGTAGACTCAACTTGACGCTGTTTCGAGGACTTGCGTCGCTCACCTCTTGAACGGAGGCTCGGTCGACCACCTTACGACAACGAACGGGTCCAACGCAGTGTGTCGGCGGTTTCACGGAGCCATGTCCAATGTTTTGGCCGGCCTCCCGGAATAACAGCCGACGAGGGTCGTTATTTTTGTATTTGTCCGGACGATCTGGAGATAGTCAAAACACAAACAGGACCACTTCAGCACCACCTTCCAGCGTCCCCGGCCAAGGGATCCGACACGGCGCGACGGCCGAGACTTCTTGGCTCCGACACGGAGCTGATAGCGTCGCCTCAGCTCCCCAGCTTCTCCAATTCCCAACCCAGCCCCTTGTGCTATTCTGAACGCCCAGTAACACGGTGTACCTTATCTCAGCACCCAAATCTGACTTTCTCTCGCTCTGTTCCCCAGCCCTTCCATTGGGGACAACTCCCACCACGCACATCAGCGTCGCTCCCAGCGAACCGCAGTCCTCGGATTACACAACACGTCCAGACACCACACACGTCTCCCCCTCATCCCACCCGCATGTCCATCGCCGTCATCTTTGGATTCCTTTGGGCGTCTCAAAGCAGGCTTCCATATTAAGCGGCGAGATCAGATCAGCTCAGTAACAGCAAGAATCAGCACCTAACGGGCGCCAGCAGCGGCTCGGCGACAAATTGCTGAACTACCTCATGCGACCTTGGAGAGTCATGTTCGGTCGTGCCAAATATCCCACCACCACCCCAATCCCAACTGCATCCCTAGCCGCTCATCCCCTCCCTGCCCTACATTACCCTCCATGACGAAGGAGAGCCCTCGATGGCTCCAAATGGGCTGCCGCCGCCTTCTCGCAGAAGCGCTCAACCAACCATGGGTGAGCCGTTGAGTTTGCGGACCCCACGCGCCTGCAGATCGCTCGGGTCTGCAAAGTCGCACCAGCGATCTTCTCGCGAGGGTGTCGGTTCCTCCAATAGGTTACCATCGGATATTGAGGATTGGCTGCATCTTCGCCCGGAGCCGTCGTGTTTCCCTCCCGTCTTGCCGTCTTTCGACCATGACGCCACAGTAAGTTGCGCGTTTTGTTAGTCTCTGCATCAAAGGCTGGTCTGATGAGCCTGCCTCGACGAGCCGTCCAAGCATCCTGCGTATGCTGTGATACCAGTAAAATTCGTCTTCCAGCGGCAGTCCGACATGTTTGTCGGGCCGAGCTTGACTTGCCTCCAGTGAGTGATGAGTGGCATGTCGGCGTTCTCGCCTATGCGATCATACTTCTGAGAAAGAAGAGACAGTCCACTGCATGCTATTAAACGGGACCACAGCGCAAGGCCAAACCCATCGATTTGTTCAACATGGCCAGTGTAATGTCAAAGTGGTGGTAAAAGGTGGTTGTAAACTCTTCAGTGGCCTGTACCCTAAACACAAAGAATTAGCATCCATATCACACGCACTCAATCGTAATGGATACTCACATGGGCTTATGTTTCCTGTCCTTATCCTTCTGGTAATTGGCCTTCCACTGTTTCTTCTTGTAACGCTCACATGCAACGTTGATGAGATTCTTGAGGATCTTGTGCTCAAGTCCCCTGTCTTGGGCCGCATTTTGTAGAAACCAGTTCGTCCTCTGGCATACCTGATGGTTCAGCTCTCCGTCCTTCTCTCGGAAGGCCGCCCTTAGCTGGTCGCGGACGACGTATCGAGCTGGCGCCGAGAATTGAACGGCTCGGAGGGCGTTGCGATATAGAATCCTATACCAGAGACGGGAATTGGCATTCTGGGCGGACGCCATTTTAAGTCCCTTCCAAAGTGCTCCGGTGAGTTCCAAGTGAAAAAGAATTGAAGGCGATGTATTCGGGACGTAAACGTGAAGGAGACGAAGAATCTGGTTGAAGCTCCTGACTGGTCTGGCGTTCTGGCGTGTGCACGGGCCACTTCGAGATTTCCACCTCGCATGCACTCTGATCCGACCTCACCCAAAAAATTCCATCTCGACCACCAGAGCGTCATTCGGTGCAAATCCACGCTCTCTGCCACAACACACAGCCATCGCCATGGCGCCCCGACTGCCCCCGAGCTGTCTCCAGCTCCTCCGAACCGGGTCGTCCACGACATCCAATGCCGCGCTCGCCGGACCCCGCCTCCACCTGCTCCCTTTCACCGCGAAGCGAGGTGTAAAGTACGGCTGGTCGACCGCTCCCCCTCGCAGCAAGCCAGCCCGCTTCAATCAGCCGACGGCCGGTCTCCCCGCCCTCACCACCGGTCCCGCCGCCGCCCTCGCTCGCCGCGAGAAGACGACTCCTCTCCGCACCGGCGCCCTCGCTATCAAGAAGGGCATGACGGCCATCTACTACGGCAAGAAGCGCGTCGCCTGCACCGTCCTCCAGCTCGATCAGGTCCAGGTCGTCGCGAACAAGACCCGTGAGAAGAACGGTTACTGGGCCGTTCAGATCGGCCTGGGCACCAAGGAACCCCGCAACGTGGACAGGCCAATGCTGGGATACTACGAGGCGAAGGGCATCGCGCCCAAGCGCCACCTCGCCGAGTTCAAGGTCCGCGATGAGAAGGGTCTGCTCCCCGTTGGCTCACAGCTGTTCCCGGACTGGTTTCAGACGGGCCAGTATGTTGATGTGCGCTCCAACAGCCGGGGCATGGGTTTCGCCGGTGGCATGAAGCGCCACGGCTTCGCTGGACAGGAAGCATCGCACGGTAACTCCAAGAACCACCGTACCATCGGTACCACCGGTCCCTCGCAAGGCTCCGGTTCCAGAGTCATGCCGGGCAAGAAGATGCCTGGGAGGATGGGCAACGAGCGGGTGACGGTGCAGAATCTGACGGTGCTGAAGGTGGACAACGAGCTGGGCGTCGTGCTCGTCAAGGGCGCTGTTGGAGGGCCCAAGAACTGTCTCGTGCAGATCCAGGATGCGAAGAAGAGGAAGGCGCCGGCATTGCCGTACCGCAAGGAGAAGCTGTTGGAGTTGTTGAAGAGCAAGCCGGAGAACAAAGCGAGACTGCAGCAGGCAAGGGAAAGGCACCTGCAACTCAAGGAGACGAGGAAGTCGACATTCTTGTAAAGAGTGTTTTCCCATTTTAACCGTTGTTGTTATGAGTCCGTGTACTATACATGTTGTACATTTACACCCCCCTACGAGGCGCATGACTGGGCGGCTCTCTTCGCCCGAATATCCCAATGACCACCACCTACTACCGCACTTTTTGACAGCCCAATCCTCGATTCGCTCGCATGACCACAACCTTGCCCCTTATTTAATGTTCTGCCTAAAGCCTCTCGTCGCCGCCGATGCAGGCTCGTCCAAATCGTCGTCCAAATCCCCACCAACGATGCCCCGGAACGGATCAGCGCCGTCCAGCAAGTCGACCTTGCGGCCGTCGGGCGTCTCCAGGCTCCACTCGGTCGTCTCGAACAAGCCCTTGTGCGAGGTCCGGAAGCTGGCAAACTTCATGACGGCCTCGCCCTTGGTGCCCTTAACGCTGAAGCTGATGTCGATGCGGCCGTGCAGCTGGTTCATCTCGCCCGAGATCCACGGAATCTGGTGCTTGAAGTAGACCTCGTCGCCGAGCAGCTCGCGGGCCCGCGGGTTGGTGCGCAGAGCGTACATTGTCGATGCGATCACGGGCGACGACGACTTCTGGTAGTTGAAGATTGCGACGCTGGAGAGGACGATGGCGGCGGCGAAGATGGGGAGCGAGCGGGACCAGCGGAAGGTGATTTGGTTGATGTCTACGCACAATTACATCGCGACCGTCAGCGCTCTGGGCCAGTAGTAAACAGGCAGGCAGGTGAAGCTAAGGAAGTAAGAGGGAGAGCTTACCCGGAAGCTCTCTATCAGCCCGCCTCTCCATCAAGGGCCCTGATCCCGGCTTCGGCGCCGCAGTTGCCCATCTCCGTTGTGTCTGGTTCCTGAGTTGTGACTGTGGTCGTGCAGCGGCGTTGCGCAGCGAAGAGGCGAGCCGCCTCGTTACTGTTCTTGAAAGCATGTCTGGCAAACTGTATGAGCCCTAGCTATTGCCCAGGAAGTTCCAGATGTCGGAGTCGTGGTGGGACGTTCGTGGTGGTTTGCGACGAAAACTCGACAGATTCCCGAATCAGGTCATGGAGTTCGCAGCGGTCGGCTTCAGTAGTGGGCGGGCCCAGGCCTAGCTCCAACGCCCCCAATCTTCTGGGCAGGGTCCTCCGCACAGAGGGGGAAAAAATAAGAGCACCAGCAAGCCCAAACAAGCCTTGCTGAGCTTCGTCCAATCAATTTACAATACACATCCATGTCCGCATGGCCATTCGGCGCGCGTCATAAGGCTGAGTTGTCATTGCTCTGCGCTGAAGGTTGCCTATCAAAGCTCCTGCTTGCATCTTGCTGTTTCTTTCCCCTCCTAATTACACCCGCCGGGTGATATACCTCACCACCACGTTACCCTTTGCGACGACGGACAAAACACCACAAAAATACAACGGGGACACCGCGCAAAGCTTCGCGACCGTAACGATACCACTTACAAAACATCACAGCTGCACAAAGCCCCATCTAGATGGCAGAATCCAGGGGCGCAGGCGCCCGTCTGCGGCGCACATTCCATTACCCCACGGACGACGATTCAGCAGATTCGCAACCCGAAGCCATGGACGAAGAAGGTAAGCGACCTCAACCTCCAAAACTCGCCGTCAAATCGCACGGATTGCTGACCTCTGCCCGAACAGAGCAGGAGCAGCTCATCCAGCAACTAGCGGACGACAACGCCGCTCGCAACGCCCAGTTCCGCACCTTTCTCCTCGCCCTGCCGATCCTCACGACGATCCCGTACCTCATCTCGCTATTGCGCCTGACGTCCATGATGGCCTCCCTCCTCTCCATTACCTCCCTCTTGTCGACGGCTTACCTCCTACACACCCAGGCGCCGGGGGAGACGGGCATCACCTTCATTGACGCCTGGTCTAGGCCCAAGACGCCGCACACAAGCCCCTCCTCCTCGCTCGAGTCCTCCGTCTCCTCGGTCTCCGGGAGCTCCTCCCAGTATCAGCCCGGCCCTTCGACCACCACGCGTCGGCGCAGACGGAGCTCCTTCTCTTTCACCGAGCAGCACAAGTCCCCTCTGGAGCAGTACCTCCCGTACCTCAACTTGGGCCTCTGCGCGATGCTAGTTCTGACGGGTATGGTGACCAAGTCCGGCGAGAGGGATACCTTCGGGCACGTCGGGCTGGGAAACTTACCTGCGATTGTGTACATAGTCATCATCCTCGCAAAGGTGGTCATGGCCAGCGTCGACCCTGAAAAGGAATTAAGTGCGCTCAAGTATGGTTACAAGGGCGCCTGAGCAGATGCTAACAAAATGGGCAATGGATTTCACGAATAATGCCAGATTGATGACCTGTAGTCGCTTAAAGCGTGTAATGATTGGGAATCGGAGTTCGGCTGGGAATTCCTCATTAGGGCAGAGCGCGCAAGTCTATTTTCTGAACGACGCGTAATTACAAGACTCTTAAAATATCTATGAAGGCATTACACATCGATGGACTCGTTGAAGCGCAAAACACCATGACTTTTCAGCACACCGTCCACCCCCTTAGGCAGCCTCGGGAATGGGTCAGAGAGGGAGTTGGTATTTGAAGGGTCCAGCGACTTGTCCGTGACAAGCGCCAGCCCATGTGACTTGATGGCATCAACCAAAGCAGGGACCATTTCCTGGATGTTATCAGCGGGCAATGTCAAAGCATCCAAGGAAACGAGCATTACATACCAATAATCTTGAGCAGCAAATCAAACCCATGAAGTTGTTGCTCTGCGCAATCCTGACAACCTCCTTGATCGATGCGGACCTGCGTCCATGGCTCTGGATAATGTCTGGTGGCGACATTGAGTCTTCCCGGCCAAGGTCGTTACACAAGAAAACTGGGAAGTTTGGTTGCTTCCAGTTAAGTGCCGTACAGAGGCTCGGGTTGTATGAACTGAAGACAACAGAACGGACCGACTCGAGGGACTGGGCTCTTTGGGCGCGCGCATGATCAAATACAATCGTGAGCAAGGAGTCAACAAACGTGTTAAGATCCTGCGACGGCCCAAGGCCCTGGGTCCGCTCCTCTTCGGGCGTTGGGTAGAGGACCTGGATATTGACATGCATTCCGTGGGGAAGCAAAGCCAATGCCTCATTAAGAGGAATACCTGCCGTGGCCAGAACACGATGGACATCAGCGATCGCGTCCAGTTGCTTCGATGGCAGCGAGGACAGCTCGTCTCGGCTTGGGCTTTTAGACGTGATGGTGTTGAATTGCTCCATCGTTAACCTCGAGATTGGCAAATCAATCCCGCCGCATGGGATCGTCCACCTCGGCCACAAGACTGGTACACCATCGCTGGTGTGCTGGACAAACAACCGAACAAAGTCTCCAGACAGACTCGAGCCCGTCACAAATGTGCTTGGGCTGCGGTCAAATTGGCTTGTTGCCTTCCAATACGTCTCGAAATCGGTGATCTCCAGCGGCTTTCCATTGAAGGGTTTGATGACCTGCGTGTGAAAGCTGATCTGACCGATTGCGCGCAGTCTGGGGTCGAACAGGGGCAGACAGCATTTTCCGGAGCTGCTGAGCAGCGCCTTGAACGTATTCGGGAGTGCCACCGTCTTGGCAATGATCTTCGCTCCATAAGTGGGAAAGACGTCGAAGTCCAGGGTAAAGGACTCGAGGTTATCAATTTGAAAGGAAACAAGCCGGGTGTCTTCTTGGAAAGGCAGCATGATGTTCTTGGGAATGAGATCAGAAACCTTGGACGAGATGGTGAGGCG